AAGCTATTACATTTATTTTAAAAAGGGGAACATTTTTGTGTAATTTAATTTTTTAATTTTTTAATTTTCTTGCAATTAACGTAGGCAATTTTTATTTTGCATTAAGATCAGCAGTCTAATAGTTACATTATCCTGTAATGTATATGATTCCGTTACGATTATTTCGTGTTTGATGTTATTTTAATCAGAAGAACGAGACGAACATTATGATAAAAATTTCATTGACAAGAAACTAAAAATAAAGAATTTTGATTTTTAAACTTAAAAGGCACCCTTTGCACTCAAATGGTGAATGGTGACTCCGAGGCATCGCTACAAGGCACATAAAGATAAAACAATTTTGACATTATCGAATTTGTTTATATTTAAAAAACTATTAAAAATGTAACTTTTGTATGAGTCACTGGACTCAATTTCATATGCTCACAATGCATTAACTATGTCATATAAAATGGAAACACTGTTAGATAAAAAATTGTTTTGGATTTAGAGTTAAAATGGCTTCGAGTGCAAAGGGTTAACATTAAACCCACCGTGTCCTAAAAGTAACCAACACGTGTCGCTATACAAGGATGAAAAGACTGTGCTTATTTAGACAATTCGCTATTTTTACTATAATGGATACTAGGATTAAGAAATTCATAATAATATAATATATTATAATCCAATATGCACTCTACGTCTTAAAGACGTCCATTTTACGTCCATTTTAGGTCTGTACGTCCTACGCCTTAAAATGGACATCTTTAAGACGTTAAAAGGTTTAGTTTAGTACGATTTTATTATTTAGTTTATTTTAGTACGTTTTGAAGACATCTTTTTGTTATCTGAATAAATGTCAAGTTTCTTACCAATTACAAATTCCAAGGAACTTTTTTGCCACTCTTTCTAATAAAAATTTTTTTTTATTGAAACCCTAAAAACAAAGAGTTTGCAAAAATGTGTTCAACCGAATGGTGCATATTTTGATTAATAAAATGTTCATTCAATGTACAAAATAACAATTCGTCTTTCTGTTCGAATAATCTGACATTTCATATTGCACGACCTAATAATTCCAGCAACTTTTAAACAATAAATGTGAAACTGGTCAGTACGATCGTCTCGGTTGGTTTAGTGTTAATGTTTCCGAATGTCTCGGAACACTACAAAGAATGCAACATCTCTACCGTAACTGGAACTTGGCGAACCAGAAGTTGCGCCGGTTATGAAGAGAATTCTTTACTGTCCACCATTGCTCTTAACTTATTAAAATCATTAAGAGTAGACATTCATTTTTGTTGAATCTCTGGGATGATATTTTTTAATAGCTTCTATTTTGTAACAGTATTCGCTGTCTTCAAGTTCCAATGATTTTCATGTTTAGTAGCTCTATTTATATATCGTGAAACTTTTTCTAACAGATGTTCTAAACTAACTTGTTTTCACGTGAACTTTTATTATATAAATCCTAGACTATCCATTTCATAAGAAAACTTTCGTTGTGATTCTTTACGATGAGAGTTAAAAATTCTCTTAAGTGAAAGACATAAGCACTAACAGAATTTTATCAAAAACGAAAGGTATATTTCGATCCTTGACTTTTATACTGGACAAAGATGCGAAGTTTAATAATATATCACGTTTAACATTTATTAACCTTTTAGGTACGGCTGAATTCTGCGCGAGGCTATTTCTCTGGACGGCAGAGTATATACTGTATATACAGTATATACAGATGATACTGTATATACAGGGTGTCCCAAAAATGTCTCGCAATCCGAAAGTGGCGGGTTCCTCAGGCCATTTGAAGCAACTTTTTTCTTTACAAAAATTTTTTCCGAGGCACAGTTAACGAGTTATTAACGAAAAACCGTGACCAATGGGAGGCGAGCTCAGCTGGCGCGAGGAGATCGAGCCAATGAGCGGAACTGGGCTTCGTGCGCTGGTTGGCTGGGCCGCCTCGCGTCAGCCGTACTCGATTCTTATTGGTCACTGTTTTTCGTTAATAACTCGTTAACGGTGCCTCGGAGAAAATTTTTGTAAAGGAAGAAGTTGCTTCAAATGATCCGAGGAACCCGCCATTTCCGAATTGCGAGACATTTTTGGGACACCCTGTAGACTGTTGTAAATCGATGTGAAGACAAAAGAAGTGGGAAACAATGCATATGAAGACGATTATTTGATTCAAACGATGAGCGAGTGAGCTACTAGAGCAAGCCACTATAGTGGCGCGTCGTCCAGAGAGATGATATCCGCGAAAGCCACTATAGTGGCGTGTCGTTTTGAAATATGACATCCTCGATAGCCACTATAGTGGCGTGTCGTTCTAAAAGATGATATCCGTAGAAGCCACTATAGTGGCACGTCGGGCCTAAAAGGTTAATACGTACGATTTCTTGCATTACACAAGATGGCGGATCGCTCAAATGCTTAAAGATCCGTAGTTTATTTATCACGTAACTCTACTTCTCGTCTCCTGTAGTCAACCAATTTGGCAAATCAGCAGCTCAACTAACGGTTCACTTATTGAATTTTTAGCAACATTCGAAATTCGAAGGTGTCCACTGTTCGCCTACAAGAAATGCTGTGTAGATAAATTGATCGTTACGTATGGATGGTGGTGCCGTGGATCAGCGAAGAATCAGCGGTGGCATAATTCTGCCAGTATTTGTTTTCACGGAGGGAAGGGAATTAAAAATCTGACATCGACGATCGGATATCCTGCAGATGTTTCAACAGGATTTCAGAAGGGAATCGCTATTACTGCAGGGATTCTCTGCAGCGCGAATTACGCCGGTGCGAGTAAATATGGTCGGGAGGACGTAGCCAAGAGTACAAAGTAATCCCGGAGATTACCGGCTTATTCTGTCAGAAGATTATGTCAGGTCGAGGGTGTCAGCAGCTTCCTCGAGCATTGGCTGCACCCCAAAACTACTCTGTACCTCGTGCTGCCGCACTTACGGCGACGATCCGTCATCGCCGCGTATCAACGAAATCGACGAACGAAATCAGTTGTTTTCTACGAGCTTATCGTATCCGCCATCAATGCCGCATGGTGGTCTGGAATGTGGGATCTTGTGACAAAAATCCAATTTCTGGACTTCAAGACTCAGGAAATTTTTTGTTGCTACAATATGGTATAATATTAGAGCGCGCGCTTCTAAGAATTCGAATATATCATTCCTTTTACATTATTATGTAACGAGAAATACTGTCTTGAAGACCAAACTATGCGAATGAAGATAAAACTAATTATTTTCATTACTCGTTATGAAACATCAAAAAACAGGTTTGCATTATACTTTCATTGTGAAACATCAAAGATATATATATATATATCTTATTAAAATTGATAACAGAAGGAAGATATTTTTATATGACTTACGTTTCTTGCGATTAACTTAGACAATTTTTTATTCTGCATAAAAATCCGCGGTTTAGTTATGAAACAAACAAACAGATTTCCATTATATTTCGTTGCTTGTTGGTAAGTATAGCTCAATTATTCAATTGTGCTGTGCCAAATGTAGCTTTGAGAGGTTTATAAGAAAATATTAAAAATTGTTGATCTTGAGGCTTTTCTCACGTGAAAATTGAAATTGTTAAGAAAAATACGATGTTTACCTCATGTGTTTCTTCTTGCTACTTTTAAATTTGTATGATTTTTAACAATTGAGCGTCCGAGGTTTTCGCTCGTAACTAATTTCAAAACAAACCATAATTTTTCAGTCATTTCCGACGATCTAGCAGAACAATAATTTCAAAAAAAGTTGGTCGGTATTCAGTTTTATACAAATTAAAATGTTAAAAAATAAATAAATTTGTTGATCATTATACAAAAAGCTGGTCATTATACAAAAAGCTGGCCATTATACAAAAAGCTGGCCATTATACATATTTTTGATTTGATAATATTCTAGTTGTTTTCAAAGAAATTCAGTGACCTACTACGTCTTATTATCCTACTATGACCTTAAACCTTGAAACAACGCTAAAATAATTATTGTTTGTAGGTTATTAACCATACATCGTCTTGGTTATCAATATAGACTGCAGATTGATTTTATGCATTTATAATAAAAATGGCCAGGTGAAATTTCAAACAATGAAAATATGAAAAGAATTTAAGAACATCCATGTATTATTATGAACACGAAACAGTTATTAAAAACAGGAACAAATTTCTAGTTGACTCGTGTTTATTGCAATCGATGAAGATCACTTTTATTTAGCATAAAGATCCGCAATCTAAGTATCAATTGTATTTCATTGCACGTAGTTTGATGTCTCATGTTTATACTATTTCTCGTTTTTCTTGTATCATATTACATATATTTAATTATATTATGGGAATTTTATCGCCATTATGGGAAAATTGTATGTATTTCACCCATAATGAAGCTACAAATTTATATTCTTTTTTGTTGTTAAACCATTACTTGAAGTAAAACTTTTTCATGTCCTTACATATGCACTAAATATTAATAATAATAATAATAATAATAATAATAATAATAATAATAATAATAATAATAATAATAATAAAAGACAGATAATTTTTTATAACAAAGATGTCATAACAGTTAGTTACATCAAACGACGCTTATCATGGACCCCCTGTATACTCAATAAAAAATCGAGGAATTGTATATTGAAAAATATTATACTCGTGTACCATGTACGAAAAAAATGTTATATACAGAGCAAGACAGAATTATCGGGTGTTCAAACAAAATAATTGAAACGTCAAATAATCAAAGCATACAATTTTAGTTCCTAAATAAAATAACGCGTATCGTATCTGCTTACTAGAAGTTTATGCTCTAAGTTAGAACGATTTCGTTTGAATCATCACACAGGCGCTGGTAGTATCTCTATAATCTACCGAAATTCTAATTAGACATCCTCTCCCGTAATTAAGCAATTTGTGCCGGAGTCAGTGCGAGCTTACTCGAGTCTGTCTGTCTTTCGGTGTCACGTTTCAGGTCTCACATTTATTTACGCCGTAGAACACTAACCTGAACTCTGGCCTCCGTGAGGTGAATCTTCATCGCCAGCTCTTCCCTGGTGAAGACATCTGGATAGTGTGTCTGCGCAAACGCCGACTCCAGTTCGTCGAGTTGTTGTTGGCTGAAGGTGGTTCGGTTTCTCCTCTGCTTTCGTCTCACGAAGGAATCCTCGCCGACACCGTGCAACGCCGGATGGTACGGGGAATAACTTGTATCTGGAACACAAAAGATTGTGTACGCGTCAATTAACGCTTTCCTTTCGAAATATTTCAATGTTTCGACCGCTGATCTTTATGCAAACTGAAAATCTCTGGTATTCGATTAGGAACCCACGAGGTTTTTTAAGGTAATTGGGAAAATCAGATAACAAATAAAATATAAAGTTTTACTGAAAATTTAGTATACGAACAATGTAGTTGTTCGCAGTAGGTGATTACACAGGCTATGTATTCTAATAAATAGACTCCAGATTTTATGGATTTATAACAAAAATGAATCATCGTCGAACAATAGAAAGATTAAGAACATTTAATAATGTCGATATATTACTCTCGACCTACTAAAATTATTAAGAAAAAAATGCAATTGTTAAGTTACTCCTAGTTTTGCAACAGATATAGACTATTGAAATAAAATATTCAAATAATTATTCAAATAAAATATAAATTTTATTTTTTATAAAATATAAAATATAAAATTTATATTTTATTTTTTATAAAATATAAAATATAAAATTTATATTTTATTTGATATAAAATATAAAATATAAAATTTATATTTTATTTGAATAATTATTTGAATATTTTATTTCAATAGTCTATATCTGTTGCAAAACTAGGAGTAACTTAACAATTGCATTTTTTTCTTAATAATTTTAGTAGGTCGAGAGTAATATATCGACATTATTAAATGTTCTTAATCTTTCTATTGTTCGACGATGATTCATTTTTGTTATAAATCCATAAAATCTGGAGTCTATTTATTAGAATACATAGCCTGTGTAATCACCTACTGCGAACAACTACATTGTTCGTATACTAAATTTTCAGTAAAACTTTATATTTTATTTGTTATCTGATTTTCCCAATTACCTTAAAAAACCTCGTGGGTTCCTAATCGAATACCAGAGATTTTCAGTTTGCATAAAGATCAGCGGTCGAAACATTGAAATATTTCGAAAGGAAAGCGTTAATTGACGCGTACACAATCTTTTGTGTTCCAGATACAAGTTATTCCCCGTACCATCCGGCGTTGCACGGTGTCGGCGAGGATTCCTTCGTGAGACGAAAGCAGAGGAGAAACCGAACCACCTTCAGCCAACAACAACTCGACGAACTGGAGTCGGCGTTTGCGCAGACACACTATCCAGATGTCTTCACCAGGGAAGAGCTGGCGATGAAGATTCACCTCACGGAGGCCAGAGTTCAGGTTAGTGTTCTACGGCGTAAATAAATGTGAGACCTGAAACGTGACACCGAAAGACAGACAGACTCGAGTAAGCTCGCACTGACTCCGGCACAAATTGCTTAATTACGGGAGAGGATGTCTAATTAGAATTTCGGTAGATTATAGAGATACTACCAGCGCCTGTGTGATGATTCAAACGAAATCGTTCTAACTTAGAGCATAAACTTCTAGTAAGCAGATACGATACGCGTTATTTTATTTAGGAACTAAAATTGTATGCTTTGATTATTTGACGTTTCAATTATTTTGTTTGAACACCCGATAATTCTGTCTTGCTCTGTATATAACATTTTTTTCGTACATGGTACACGAGTATAATATTTTTCAATATACAATTCCTCGATTTTTTATTGAGTATACAGGGGGTCCATGATAAGCGTCGTTTGATGTAACTAACTGTTATGACATCTTTGTTATAAAAAATTATCTGTCTTTTATTATTATTATTATTATTATTATTATTATTATTATTATTATTATTATTATTATTA